CTCGTTGAACCGCATCCATGGGTAGCCGTCCGGGCGGCCCAGACATTTTAAAGGGCATCACAGACCCTGGTTATGCCCTCCACCTATCTCTGGTTTGATTACCCCAATAAGTCCCTCTAAGAAGTCCACAATCCCTACCAAAAATGGTAAAGCGGAACTATTTAGCACGCGGAGGTCTCGTTCGTTAACGGAATTAACCAGACAAATCACTCCACCAACTAAGAACGGCCCATGCACCACCACCCATAGAATCAAGAAAAGAGCTCTCGAGTTGACGCGTCAGATGAATGAGCTAGCGACGCTGAACGACGTGGACCCAACACCGAGGATTGAAATGGCTTCGCACCGACCGCTGGATCGCATCACGCCGTTCTCAGGCTCTCGCAACAAGAGCGAGAACTGTATGCAGTGGCTCCGTGGGTTCGTCTATGAAATGACTGGAACCCACACAGATGCCGATAAATGGTGCATTCCATTTGAGCTAAGTCTCCGGGACGGAGCCATTCAGTGGTTCCGTCAACTTCCGAAGAAGACGAAGCGCAAGTGGAAGCTGCTGAGCGACGCGTTCATCCGCTACTACTGCTCGCAGTTCACGCAGACGGCACTGTCGCGTCACTACTCCGCCAAGCGGGAACGTAATGAACATCTGTGCGACTACATAGACAGGCTGAATGGCTATGCTCGGACCGCCCGTCTACACTTCGAGAAGAGTGGTCGCGACGCGAAAGAACACGTACAGCAGTTCCTGGCAACATGCGATGATGACAAGCTGGCGGAGAGTCTCTACCACGCTCGAGTCGCCGACATTCACGAGCTCGAAGAGATCATCGAAGATGTTCTCAAGGGCAAGGAGAGAATGGCCAAGCGTGACAGTGAGTACCGATACTCCAAGAGTCGCGACGCGCGACGCGACGATGGGTACGCCCGCAACAATCGGCGTGATGACTGCTGCCGCGATGACAACCGCAACAAACCAAGAGTGACGCTCGTTGAAGCCACGATGGACGGCCTACTAGCTGAATTAGAAAGTCGTGAAGCTGCTCAGGGGAGGCACCGAGTATTCAAACGAAGATCCGAACGCTTACGACAATGTCCTAGACGAGTACAATGACTTTCAGCCCGATAATACGGATGGTGATTTCTCATTGGATGAAAACGACCGATACCTCGCCGCTGCTAACGAAAATGAACGCCGTGCAGCTGCTGAAGGCACCTACGCACGTTCAGACAACCGTCAACCGCGTGGAAACGTGCCTGATCGCGAGAATGGCTTCAATCAAGATCGCCGAAGTAGTGACCGTGGGTTCAATCAGGACCAACGCGGTCGACGTGACTTCAACTGCGACAACCGACGCCCACAGTACGGACCATGCGCGGTGTGCGGTGGCATGAGTCACTCCACCCACTACTGTAACAAGCGATGCAAGTTCTGCAAGCAGCTCCACGATGCAGGACAATGCGAACTTTTCCGCAACTTCCAAGACCTTGCCAAATTCGTGCGCACTAAAGGCACGAAGGAAGAACTCCCGCCAGAGCTCAAGACCGTCGCTCAAGAACGTCATTTAAACTAGGCAGCCCGCCAACTACAACTGGGTTGGTCCCTATCGGGCTGCCACAGTTAACCGAGCCTTCAATGGAAGCAGAGTGTATCTTTGCTTTCATGGGGCAGAGTGAATGGCCTGATAACTACGTAACAAGTGTGAACACGACGGAAAATGAAAAGGAGAGGAGAAGAATCCTCGGTGGAGTTGTTGGAGAGAGAGTGGAGTGTGCTGATGCTGATGAGGGCACCAGCGAGGGTTTGTTCGGCTTGTTTTCGAGTGCAGCGCGAGACGAGCCCAAGGGTCACTCCAAGATGATGAAGTTGAACCCTGGCGAGAGACAGAGGTGGTGGTCGACCAAGAAATTCGACCGACGGATCAGAATGAGAGCTCTGGTGCAAGGCGCTGTGAGCGACCAGCGAGCGAGGATCCTCCTCGACACAGGAGCGAACGTTAGTGTGATCACTGACGCCTTTGCCAAGAAGTCGCGACTCCGAGATGTACCCGATCACGGACGCCGCATTGACATTCAAGGAGTTAACGAAGGCAAGGTGTCTACGACGCGACGAGCGTGCGTCAAGATTACGCTCGGATGGGAGATGGTGTACGAGTTCGAGATGTGGGTAATGGCGCATAGTGCAGGCGTCGACGGAGTACTCGGGACCGACTTTATGATCCCAGCTGGGATCCGGTTGGACCTGTTTCACGGCGCGGCGCAATTACCGCACGAAGTTCGAATCCCGCTGATCAAGACCAAGAATATGATCGACAGCGAAGAGTACGGCCCCCATGTTAACGCCGGGCCACCCGAGCGTTTGGACATTCAAGCGCACGAGTGGCGAGAATATCGACTAGCGAAGCGCCAAGTCGGTCTGGAGGAACACGTACTGTGGGTCCGTCGAACGAACAAGTTAATCCCGTCAGTGACGAGGTTTCGGCATGGACTGCCTCAGAGCATTCGGTTGACCAACGTGTCTGATCGAACTGTGTACCTACCAGCACACGACTCGATCGCGATGTGGATTCCAGATGGGGATTTGCCACGAGGTGACGGCGATGTGCGTCTGGAGTCCAAGAAGTACCAAGCCTGTCAAGTGTTGGCCTACGATGGTTGTAGAGACCGCGAGCTCTTTCAGCGTGAATGTGAAATCTACGAGCAGTGGCTTGCAACTCAGCCTTCGGCAGTTGATCGACCGGACTATCCAGAACCCAGTGGGGTGCTAGCACGACCTCTAGAAAAGTCGCTAGTGGATTCTAGTGATCGTCTGACGTGTGCAGAGCGCTGGGCACTGATCCGGGAGGAACGTGAACGAGTGGAAGCCTGTCTGGCGTCTGGGGTGACAGCCGGGGACTCGGCCGACGGTCAACCTTCCGAAGAACCTTTGGACACGTACACGACAACCCATGGCGGAGGCAATAACGCGAACGAAGCCTCGGTAGTGCGTACACACGAACCACTGAGGCCGGTAAACGTGGTACATACGCCAACGAGTGTTAGTGTCCAGTCAGGGGTGACCACGGAAGCGAGAAGCAACGGCACTGGATTGAATGGAGTCACCCGTTTTGACGAAGCTGTCCCGGCCTTGTGTGCCACCAAATCTGCGAACGAGACATCGGTGGTTGATCCAGAGGATGCAGGCATCGCGCTGAAGGTGTTGAGTACGGCACCGAGTATTCATTGCAAGATTGGTGCGAATGCCGAACTGTCAAGACAGCGGCAGAACGAGGAGCTGAACAAAAGTCAACAACCCAATATGTCGGCGACCCGCGCATTCAATATTGCGAACGACGACTCGGCAGATGGCCCAGAGATGGGAAACCAGGATGGGAAGGAGATGGACCCAGAACCGACTGTTGAAATCAAAGCGGATACCGATGTTGAGTCAAAGGAAGAATCCGTAGCGACTTTGGATGGAACATACATCTCGGTTGCTCGAGTATTAACAGCCGAAGGAAATGAAGCAACGAAAGATACGAGAAATGACTTCTACGAACACCCAGTTAACAACATTGGCTTGGAAGACTACGCGAAGGAACTGGCATTCCTGCCGGACCTGACCGAAGAGATCAACACGACGATAGACTACACTGCGTCTAATGTTGCTGATCCTCAGCTGTCGACTGATCGCCGAGAACGTCTGGTCGCGACACTGAAGAACCACGAGCACATCCTGATTGCTAGTGGTAACGCACTACCACCGCCAGCCTACGGCGCGGTATGCGATATCGACACACAGGGGCACGCCCCAATTAAATAGCGTGCCCGGCGCGTGCCGCTACGATTTCTCGGCAAACTGAACGAGCTGCTGCGCGCTTTGTTGCGAGCAGGACTGATCGTCTTTTCAGACAGTCCATGGGCATCGCCGATCGTGATTGTGATGAAAAAGAATGGGCTGGACATCCGGCTCTGCATTGATTACAAGATGGTGAATGCTATCACCGCGATCATGGAGTATGCAATGTCGCTAGTCGACGACCTGTTAACCGATCTAGAGCGCTACCTATGGTTCTGCTCGCTGGATGCAGCCAGCAGCTTCTGGGCGATCATGATGATCTTGCGAGCACGTAAAGTATCGGCGTTTGTCTGCGCACTCGGACACTTCGAGTGGTTGCGCATGCCCTTTGGATTAAAGAACGCGCCGAAGATCTACCAGCGCATGATTGACAATGCACTCTGGGGGTTCGTTCAACCTAAAGGAGGTTGGCTCAAATACTTGGAGAGGATGCGTTTAGCTGAAGAACAGGCCAAGGAACGTCGTGGGCCAAGCGCCGAGGGTTCGTTTCAAACGAAGTTCGCGGCAGACCGCGAAGCACCGGTAGAGACCGACCCTGTACTACAACTCGTCAACAGCCCCGTCGCTGACATGTTTACTAACGGGGAGCCAGACGAATCATCGCTGGTACCCGTGTTTGGTCGGCGGTCGTTTGTGGATGATATTTGCTTCGGTGACGAGGATTTCGACAGCTGCCTGGCGACGCTGGACCGATTGCTGGCAAGATTTGCACAGTGTCGGGTCAGCATTAGCTTCACCAAGAGCATCTTCTGCCAACCCAAGGTGGACTTTCTGTCGCATAAAATTTCGCCAGAAGGTATCAGGGCTGACCCCAAGAAGCTTGCGGCCATCACCGAGCTTTCGATTCCAACGAGTAAGAAGGGCATGCAGTCGTTTCTTGGAGCAGTTAATTACTACAGTCGCTTCATTCAAGACTTCGCGGTCTACGGTGCAGCGCTGTACCAGCTCAAGGATGAAGACTTTGCCGTTGAAGGCGGCCTTTCTGTGGCACGTCGTTCCTTCGAAAAATTGAAGACGAGTGTTTCACATTCACCCATCCTCAGGCACTTCGATCGGTCGAAAGAAGTTTACGTCATGCTCTTTGCGAATGAATGGGCGTTGAGCACTACGCTAATGCAAGAACATGAAGGCAAGTTACACCCCGTACGGTTCCTCGGTCGGGTGCTCAAGGAGGCCGAGATGAATTATCATCCTGCGGAGAAGGAATTTTTGGCGTTACTTCTGCTGTTGAAGATCTGTTACGTCCAGCTGGCAGGAAAGACGCTACACGTCTATACACGATTCTCGACGTTAGAGTGGGTGCATAAGTCGAAGTCTCTCTTCGGACGCGCGGTCCAGTTCGCAGTGCTGCTATCGCAGTGGCACCTGAAGGTGCAGCGCGTGAAGGAGAAGGATATTGCCTTCGCGCAGCTACTACAGTCAAGCATCACGAG